GATCCTGTCTGATCTTGGAAGCTAAGCAGGGTAAGCCCTGGTTAGTACATGGATGTAAGACCACCAATATATACCAGGTGCTGGAGCTCTATGTCAGAAGAAGGAACTGGCAAAAGCACCTTTGAGTATCCTTTGCCTAAGAAAACCCTCTGAAATTCATGGCGTCACCATAACTTGACAGGTGAGTTGAAGGCACACACACATATATCCAAAACAAGGCACTAGATCCCATCTGATATTGGAAGCTAAGAAGGGTCAGCCCTGGTTAGTACTTGGATGGGAGACCATCAAAGAATCCCGGGCAGTGTAGGCTCTATTTCAGAAGAAGGAACTGGCAAAACCACCTCTGGAGATTTCAGGCCTAAGAAAACTCTACAAAATCCGTGGGGTCACCATACATTTACAGGTGACTTGAATTGCACTGCCCAAGCCTAATTTATGTAGGAAAAATATAAGAGTAATTTGACTTCCCTGTTTATGTGGGGAGACCTCTCAGCAGGAGAGGCAATCCAAAATTTCAAGTTAAAATCATGCCATGCCGAGAAAATAACTTGCTCTTGCTCTCACAGAAGCTGAGGAATGCCTCCTCCCATGGATTAAGTGCCTGCTTCAATAAGAAACAGAGCCCTGTCTTGCAGAGTTTCCAGACTTGAGCCCAGCGACAAGAGGCAGATCCAATTGATCTGCTGAGCAGCCAGCGGAGTCAATAATCACCACAGGAGAGCATTTCAAGGGTCAGCGGGAATGGGATCGTGTAACGGTGGCTTCAGAAAATGGGAGTAAATAAAGTCAATCAAAGAGCCCAAGGAAGAGGCTGCAAAAAATGGAGCAAAGACCATGGAAGAGGCCAGGACTTGGCTCCAAAATACAGGCAGATTGCTACTTACAGCAAAAAATGCTACCTTCCTAAGGAGTAAGGCTACCATCTGTGGTGGGCAAGTGCTTGAGAATCATAGAAGAAAATCCATTCCAGCCCTTTCTGCCATGCAAGAAGACACCATGCAAGCACTCTTTGTGACAGATGGCCATCCAACCTCTGTTTTAAAACCTCCAAAGAAGGAGATTCCACCACATGCCAAGGAAGCAGTGTCTTCCCCTGTGGAAAAGCTCTTACCCTCAGGAAGTTCTTCCTAATGTTTAGGTGGATTTTTCCCCCTTTAGCTTGAATCCTTTGGTCCATGTCCTATTCTCTGGAGCAGCAGAAAACAAACTTGCTCCATCTTCAACATGACATACCTTCAAATATTTAAATACGACTATCATGTCACCCCTTAACCTCCTCTTCTCCAGCTCTCTAAGCCGCTTCTTGTAGGGCTTGGTGGTTCCCAGACCTTTCCCAATTTTGGTTGCCCTCCTCTGGACATTTTCCAGCTTGTCCACATCCTTCTTGAATTGTGTTGCCCAGAATTGGACACAATATTCCAGATATAGTCTAACCAAAGGAGAACAGAGTGGTACTATGACTTCCCTTGTTCTAGATCAGGGGTAGGCAACCTGTCCCCTTTAAGGGCCGAGGGACTTCAGCTCCCAGAATCCCAGGAGCTATTGGCCAACATGGGACTATTGGCCAACATGGCTGAGGCTTCTGGGAGCTGAAGTCCCTCAGCCCTTAAAGGGGAAAGGTTGCCTACCCCTGATCTAGATACTACACTGCTGTTGATGCAGCCTAGGATCACATTGACTTTTACAGCTGATGCATCACACTGTTGAGATCCTGGATCCCATTTGTAACCTAGTAAAGTTAGCTATGGATGAGCTAAGGAACTGGTCCCCCAAATCTCACCTTAAACTCCAGGGAGCTGCGTCAAGTGATGGAGGTCTGTGATGTGGTTGAGTGGGGGACTTTGGGTCGATATGAAAGTGGAAGAGAGTTGGCTGCATCATCTTGAAGCCTCCCCACTCAACCATGCTACAGATCCCCATCACTCAGAGTGTCTCTCTGGAGTTTAAGATGGGTTTTGGGTGGCATTTATGATGGTAGCATAAGTATCATGATTGTGCATAAGTAGGCTAGCACAAGAGTCTGTATGGAATAGTGGTTTGAGCACTGGACTATGACTCTGGAAACTAGAGTTTGAATCCTGGCTCAGCCATAAAGCCCACTGGGTGACCTTGGGCAAGTCACATGCTCTCAGCCTCAGAGGATGACAATGGCAAACCATATCTGAAGAAACTTGCCAAGAAAGACCGATGATAGGGTCTCCTGAGGGTCTCCATAAGTTGGAAATGACTTGAAAGCACACAACGACAACAAAGCAACAGTAACAACAACAAAGCCTAGCTAAATAGAGAGCAGTTATGGGTCTTTAACTCTGGGTGCAAATCTGCAATGGCAATGCAGTGCCAGTAGTGCCAACAACAACAACTCATGAGCAGATTCTAATGTATGTTTGAGGCCAGCCACCAGATTGTAGCCATTGATTTTTGCTTACATTTTGTGATTGTGAGTTGCTGGGATAACAGAGTTGTTTTTGTTTTTCTGTAGAAAGGTGACCAGCAAATTTTAGAAATAAATAGCTGATAGGAAAAATAAAAGTTTATAGCTCTGAGAGGTATTTATAGCTAAAGTTTATGGTTCCATGGGGGGGGGCACATTGGCTGTCTCTCAGAATTAATCTCCCCTCCACTTTGTAATATGGATTGACTTAAAATGCTC